GGGACTATTACAGTCCTTTTGTCTGAGCTTGATTTTTCTGCCCTGTTTGGAAAGGTGCTATTTCTATTTAATGAAAGCCTTTTAAAAAAAAAGATATCTTAATAAAATACAGGATTTGATTCTTCAGGTCTAAAATGGGACCAGAGATTCTGCAGGCGAACAAGTTCTGAGGATGTGGGGGCTGCTGGCTCAAAGATCACTCTTCACACAATTCTCTCATCTCACAAATGAGAGGACTGAAGGGCCAAGAGGAACCTTACACCACAAATGTCAGAACCCTGGAGCAGCTCACAGGCTCCACATTGAAGACCCCACAGACCGATAAGATCTCACTCAGCTCTAGGAGACTGGTCTCTAACAGATGTTCACCAGTCATCTCTGGTCTGGCAGCTGCCCAGCACTCACTCAAGAAGCTTCTTAAAATGCAGATTCCCAGGCTCCCCTGGTGGAGACTGGCTCATGGGACAGGCATGGAGCTCTGGGAAACTGTTTTCAAAAAAGTCCATGGATGATTCTGATACACAGCTGGGCTTGGGATTATGTATCTAAAATACTTGAGAGACAGTGATCCCAAGAGAGGAATACTTTAAAAACCTGGCTGCCTAGTATTTATTTAGGAGATTCAATGCTGCATGTATTATCAAATGACACCAAATTACCGTAAGTCTATTTACTAAGTATTATTGTTGTTCCCACTTTATAGAGAGGGGAGCTGAGGCATGGTTTAGCTAAATAACTTGACAAAAATCATGCCCCAATAAGGGGCTGAGTTTAGCCCCAGGCTGTACATCTTGCCCACTACATTCTGTCCCAGAAATGAAGGCAAGAATCTTGGACACCCCAAAGAGTAAGCCCCTTCACTCAGTGGAGCAGAAGTCCCTCAACACAAGGACTAAAGGACACACACATGTGCTCTCTGGGGGGAAGTGATAGAAGATCTGAGTTATTAACCCTGAGTTAATTCAGATTAGAAGGATTTCCTTTTTGCAGGATTTCTCAAGCAGACTTCACCAGCAAACGTAAGTGAATGAATTTCCAAGAGGGGGTTGCATTTTGCAACTTTCTCCAAAAGTATCGGTTTACAGACTCTTTTTGTCCAAACCATCTCAAGGCATCAGGAGGAGGCCTGGAAACTAACTCCCTTTGGGAAACACAGGTTTGAGCGCAGTACTTCTCAAACTTTAATGCACTCAAAACACCTTAGGATTTCATTAAAATACAGATTTGAACTCCAAGGTAGGCTGGAAGAAGAACGTGCATTTCTAGCAAGTTCTGGAATGATGCCGCTGATGCTGCAGCCCACTTGGTGCGATGAGGACACAGGGCTGGCTGTCCCGTCCCACTCACAGATCAGCTGTGTTCCAGGTCAGCATCCCAGAGAACACCCCTCACGCAAATCTGCAGGGACTCTAGCCACCTCGTACTGCTTCACACCGGACCCTATTCTACATGTTGCAAGGTAGACCCCAGACCTTAGAGAAGATCCATCTATCCTTTAAAAAAGTCTGTACCCCAATCCTCTCTTTCCACATGAAGTACCCTTGCCCTAGCCTCAAAAGCGTTCTTTCTTAAAGTGAAGTTCACTGAGCCTGGCCTCCCTCCCTGACACTCAAGGTTGCTGGGATCAGGGGCAAGGAAGGAAAAGGAGGTAAAAGGAGGATAAGCAGAGGAGGTCTTGTGACCGACTGGGCCTCCTGGTGCCGCCGAGGTGGCAGTGCCAACGCGCAGTGCTGAAATACTTGGCCTGTCTCCGGAGCAAATACCCAATCCAAACAGGCCCGCGTGTGTCTCTGAACAGACTGTGTAAATAAGGACGGGGGAGGGAAAAAAACCCAACTGGCCACAGATCCTGCTTTCAAACACGTCGAAAGAAAATAATCCGTCTCTCGCTCACTCACTCACTCCCTCCTGCTTGCTCTTTTTTTAAAATTTCCACTGGTGCCGAGGCCCCGGTGGAGCCTGGCTGGCGGCTTGTTAGAGCCTGCAGCCTACCTGTCCTGCATAGGAATGAAGCCTGGAGCAGTTACATGATATGTCCTCCCTGCGGGCCCATGGACGACAGCTACTGCATTCAGAGTTCAGGAAACAGAGCAGGAGCTGTTAGAGACCACAAAGAAGGGACCAGGGACCAGGAACTGGGCTGCACGGGACAGCAGTCAGGCTGCATAGGACAGCCTTCAGCAAACCTGGCTTTACCAGGATGGCCCAATCCCCCAGCTGTGAGAATCACCCACTTCCAGAAAACAGGGGAACAACTCCCCACTACAGGGCTGGATCTATAAAGCTTGCCTGAGGAACCCATCCAGAGAACCTCTCTCCAAGGGCATTTCAGACTCCAAGTGTGTGTACCGACAAGGGGGCAACTTGCTTGTGGTTTGTTTCTGGTTTTGTGCTGGGTTTGGAACTTTCTAAAGGAAAGGGGAGGTAGGCTGGAGGGTGTCCTGTGTATGAGTCATCTGCAGATTAAAACCCACCTCCCTCCTCTCTGCAAGTTGAAACAATTGAGATGTCTTTCCCAGGCTCTTGCCAACATCTCTTACTCAATCTTGGATCAAGAGGGTGTTGGAGGGGAAGCCTGGAGGGGAATCCAGACAGCACTCGGCCCCTGACTGCAGGCCCAGCTGTTTGAATGGCCCTGTGGCTCCTGAGACCCAAAGGAAAGTCAAGATGGCCTTGGAGAGGTAGACGAGGAAACAGAAAAGGGTGACTGAATCCAGAGCCGATGAGGCTCCACAAAGGTAAACTGACCCTTGTAGGAGAAAAGCACCAATGCCAGTGTGACTTTTCTAGTTCATGGCCATTCACTACTTTCCTCCTCCCCTTGTTCTTAGAAACATGATTCTTACTGTCTCCTCCTTATAGCCTGTGTTCTATAGCAGGCTGATTATTTGCAATTCTGCTTACTAAGAAAGGACCAGACATAGTTTGTCCCAACAGCCTGAGACTAGACAAGAAGAAAATCCCAGGCCAAGTCCAAGAATATCATCACGCTCTTATGAAGCACTGTGTAAGGTCACTGATGAACGCCTATAGGAAGAACCTGAGGTTATCTACATCTCTAGCCAAAGCCCGTGCCACACCCAGTGTAGGGTATATGATTCCTTTGCAAAGTTTAAAAAAATCCTTGCACACATTAATCGCCAATCCATACTGTATGTCCATAGGTACACAGCCAAGCCCCAATCAGCCTCTGACCAGAGGTGACCCCAGGTGGTGGGAAGCGGTAGGAAGTTATGCCTTTTCAAGAGCAGATCTGATCTACCACAGGAGTTGAATGGCTGGTGTGTCTTCACCTAAAACTAGAAGCTCTCCCGCTGGAGGGTCACTATATTGCAGGCTTTCCAGGCCCAGGATCCAATCGCTACCATGGCTTAGTGCAGTGGAAACTATGACTATTCCATAGCACAAAGAGTGCTAGAAGCTAAGCGGCATGCCCAAGTCGTAGGCACATTCCTATCTGAAAGGCAAGCTACTTTTACCCTCCTCTCTCTCACAGACACACACCTCACTCCCACCCCCGGAACATGTCAGGGACCAGGTCTTATTGTGAACAGTATCGGTTGAATAAATAGTCAAAAAACTTGCAAGAGGGAAAGGCAAAGCTATTCCTTTATTCAGGTATCTATGAAGCACCTGTCTCTCCCTCTGCTGGGCATGGGCTGAGTCAAGTGAGGTGGACCCAAGGTTGACAGCAACCCGAAGTACCTCCTCAAATCCCCAGAGACTTTTCTGCACAGAGCCAAGCACCAGAAACACCCTTGCCAGGAAGGTAGTCACCCTCTAAAGGTTTCAAAGGTTCTCCAGAGATCAGATGAGACCTGGAGTGGCTTAGAAGGTCCATCCTTTATATGAAACTGCTCTCCTGCCTGTCACTTTATTCTACATCTGTATAATGCTAGGTAACACAAATGGCACAAGGGAAAGGCATGAGATCTCACCACATAGCCACCAGTGGCTAAAATTCCACAGAGAGACACCAGCCCACGTGGGACACCTAGAATGCTCAGATATTGGTGGAAGTATAAAGCAACCCAGCAGCTTGCAAAGAAATCTGGCATGTTCTTATCAAATCAAACACACAGCTAGGACCCAACAAGTCCACTCCTAACTATGCATTCAAGAGAAGGAAAAATGTGTGGGTTTACTCAAGAATGCTCATAACAACTTTATTCAAAATAGCCAAAACCTGCAAAGAGGAAAAGTACCCTTCAGGTTAAAAAAAAAAAAGGACAGTCATAGAATGGTATATGACTCAGCAATCACAAAGAGCCCACTATGCTTACCAGGTAGGGCAGCACAAGCTTAGGATCCCAGCTACTTGGGCAGCTGAGACAGAAGAATCTCAAGTTCAAGGCAACTTAGAGGAGACCCTGTCTCAAAGGAAACATGACTTTTAAAAAGCCTGGGGATTTTGTTCAGTGGTAGTGCACTTGCCTGGGATGTGTGAGCATCTATCCTTAATGCTACACACACGCCCTGTGATACACATCATGACAGCAACCTGTGGGCTGGAAAAAGAATGCTATAAAGAAGCATTGCTGTCCCTCTCATCCAAGTGAGGGTACATTCCAAGAGCCCAGTGGATGCCTGAAGTGGTGACTAGTACTGAAATCTATATAGAAACGTGGTTTTTCCTAGACATACTTGTGATAAAGTTTAACTTATAATTAGGCACAGTGAGGGATTAACAGCAGTAATTAATAAATGGAATAATTATAACAACATACTGTAATTAAAGTTATTTAAAACCTACAAATTATTCACTCCTGGAATTTGACCTCAGGTAAGTGAAAGTGAAATCCTGGGTAACGGAGGAGTGCTTTTATGAGGCTTCACTTATATACAGTTCCTCCTCGGACAGAAAAGCTGACCTAGGCAGGAGAAAATCAGAAGAGGAGCTGCCTGAGAGGCGCAGGTGTGCACAGCAGAGGCCTGGGGAGCTGCCTGGGCGCTGGCACTGTTGAGTGCCAGGGATACTTCTGATTAGTTCTAGAACAGTGCAGGCAAACTTTGCCTTAAGAGAAAAAGAGAAGAAAAATCTGCAACCGAACAGGGAATTCTGCTTAATGAGATGCAAACTGCAGGATATGGAGGGAAGCCTGCCATTTACACAGAGTGAATTAAAGGAAACAGACCAGAGAGTGGTCTGAGGACCATGCTGGTAAGTGAGCCCACTGCGGAATTTTAAAAAGGCAACTGTGGAGTCTACATGTGGGTATGTGGGTGCTGGCTGCAGAATGCTTTCAACTGTCTTATATATTTATAAGTTTCTAAAATAAAATATGAGGGGGAGGAAATGAAAGAATATCTCAAGCAGCTTTATAGGGAAAGACTGTTGATGTGAGTGTGGAGGCTGCGCACACAAATCCTTAGTGTGACAGACCAAGGGACCTGGGGAAAGGAAAGCCAGGAGAGGAACTTGAGGCAAAGGGCTGGATCTGAAGCCACCCTCGGAAGAGATTACTCTAGGGCCCAGGTTAAGGCCAGAGGGAGAATCGTCGGGGTCTGGGTTCCGTTACTCTGAGCAAGATGCAATTTCCTGTTCCGCAGGGGTGAGTACCTGGTGGGCTTGAAACACCTCTCGCAGAATAGCATGTTGATGAGTTAAGTGTAAATGTATCAGAAACAAACGGATTAAGTTTCTTACCATCCCTCCCAGATTGAAAAAAAAAAAAAAAAAAAACAGAAAAGGAGGATGACATCAGGGGTAGTAGGGAAAAGGGTTTCTTTCTTAAACTGTGCAAAAATCCAGTTTTGAAAGACACTTGACTAACAGACACCCAGGGCTTCTGGACTGAGCTCTTTAATATTCAAATGACTTTGAAAAATATTTCTCCTCCTGGAAAGCAGAAGGAAAGGAAACACTTTGAAGCCCTCCTAGTTATTTCATTATTTTTTTTCCAAAGGTAAGGCCATGTATTTTTATCCAGTATTAAATAAACATTTTTTTAATGATATGATCAAAGCCTTTGGGCCTCTGATGTTAGTTTGGGATTTTTGTTTAGTTTTGCGTTCTGAAGGGAAGGCAGGGTAATGGTTTTTCTTGCCAAATGTTCTAGAATCATAGAATACCAGACCCTGGGAGTTGAAGAACCACAGCAGTGTTGCAGAGAAAGGGGGCGCTGACAGGCTCTAGGGACCTTTCTCAAGGGTGGCCCACCTGGGAGGATAAGGCAGGTGGCTTGGGCTCAGGCCCACACCCAGAGCATCCTACTCTGCACAGAGAAGGACGAGGCTTCTGCTCTGAGTTCACCACGCCAGGACACTCTTTCTGGACGTGTGGACGCATGAGATGTCTTATATTGTTTATCATCAGGGATGTCAACAATGACCTTCTCCCCAAGACCATTCAAAGGCTTCTCCGGTACTCAGAGATAGAGCAAGGACCAGCGCACCTCTATACAAAGACCTGGGCTACAAAATGAAACAAAAATATCACCTAAATGATTTTTTCTCAATGGTTGGACAAAATCCACACAAATAAAACCCACGGAGATTATGTGGTCACAGACGTGGCACAGTGGAGCCGCAACAGGAAAAGTACAATAATGATTCTCAAGTAACATTTGAGCAAGAGCCCACACATTCTTAAGTGAATTAACAAATAAATACAATTCACACTTTCTTCTGTCAGAGAAGTGTAATAATTTTAGAAAAGATACATTCACAGTAAGATACATCCAATACAAGAATCCAATAGGGACACAGTTCTCCAGGCCCTTACACTAAGCAATGAAGGCATTCATTGTCAGTAAATTTCTCTATTGGCCTTATGAGATCAGGGTCATTAAACACATTTTACAGATTTTTTTTTTAAACTGAGTCACGGACAAAGTAACTTCCCAAGGCCAAGGAGTTGGCAAGAGACAGATAGAAACCAGTCTCTCTGTTTCATCTCAAAGCACATGCTCATAACTGTAGCTCCCCTGGCCTCCCCAGCTGTACCGGGAAGAGCAGACTTAACTACACAGGGCCACCACATCTAACAGAGACACAGCTTCCAGTATGCAGCCAACATCAGAATTATACTGTGTATGCCACTTCCTTTCCCAAAGGGAAGGTGCTTCACTGACTTCAGTTAACATAAAATAATTCTTATAGCAACCAGAAAATTAAGATTACCCACAATCCCAGCACTCAGATGTAACCCATTAATCTTTCGTGAAAAATATCTCTCCACAAGCTTTAAATGTGCATAGATATATTAATTTTTTAAAGTTTTCTTCTGTAATAATTTTAGATTTACAGAAAAGTTGTAAAGACCACATACAAAGTTCCTGTACATTCTTCACCCAATGTCTCTTACTGTCAAACTTTCACACAAGCAACACGTATTTGTCAAAACTAAGAAGGTAACAATGCTACATTACTATTAGCTAAACTGCAGATTTTATTTAGAGCCCCAGTTTTTTCCACTCATGTGATTTTTCTTCCCATTCCGGGATCTCATGTGGGGTGCTATATTGTGATCATTTTGTTTTTAAACTAATTATACTCAGCAATGCATCATGGACACATTCCATAGCAACAAATATAAATCCACAAGGTATCTTCCAACTGCTCCCAATATTCCACTCTGCAGATGAGTCATATCCTCCCATTGACCAGCATTTCTCACTGATGCAGGATGGACCAACTTCACACAGGGCACGCCTGCCCCATCCCGTTAGCCATGTCAAAGGTGTGTCCTTCACTGTCTTTCAGCCACTTGGTCTTACTCTCCCTGGAAAGCCTGAAGAGACATGCTTTGCCACCGACAGAAGAGTAACTGCGACAATTAACAAGAGTCCCTTGGTAAACTTGCACCTCCACTCTGGGACCGAGAACTGTTAATGGTTTCAAGACCATCATTTCCCCCAGACCAGACTGACTGTTTCAGAGAACCACCCAGAGATTAAAACTTTTGTCAACTCGGCCTAGTTCCGGTCTTTTCTCTACATCTGACAGAGAACTTTGGGCTTTTGGCATTTCAATCATGGAACTACTGTTGGGGTACAAGGGCAACCCCCACTGAGTTTAATTTCCTTCCCATCCCTTGTACTGTCTATCAAAACCCCCTCAAGGAAAAGCTGTGTGCAGACTCATGCTGTAACATATGCAGCAGGACAAACACAGGACTGGCTGCTCAGCAAAGTTATGTGGCTGGATTTTTTTGTTTGTTTGTTTGTTTTGGTTTTTTTTTTTTTATGGAAACAAGAATAGGGAGAAGGATCAATATTATAAAACTGCATACATGGCTAGAAAAGGCTCAAAGGGAGCTTGAACTAGGACCTGCCCAGCATGCTAACTCTGGCCAAGGGAAGTCTCTCTTCAAAAGAAGCCCATATTGTGAGACTCTTGTTCTTCGGTGCAAAACAGAATCCCTATGCTCAGAAACACTATAGAATGAGATATATATATATCTCATTTCCAGATATATATATCTGGAAAAGAAGTGGCTGGGAAGGTTTAAAGAAATGAAGCCCTACCCCACGCTGGGGAATTATTCAGCGCCATTCTGGCTTGCAAAAAAGAAAAAGGAAAAAAAAGAAAGAAAGAAAACAAGCTACTGGTCAGAGGGAATGTTCTTCCATGCCAAGCTCAGCTTGAATTAATACACAACACAACCTCTTAAAGGGGGACACTGCTTTAAACTAAGAGGCTAAATGTAACTGATTAAAAGCAACAGGAAGTGGAGAAAATTCTGGAAGGAAAAGGGCAGCAACATGAGACATTTCCCGCCCCCCCCCCCCAGTGTTTGCAATCTTGTCACCCTGGTCAAGGCCACACCTTGGGGTCACAGGAGGGGCAAAGTCTTCCAAGCAGAGGATACCGGTTCCACAATCTCATGCAGAACAATGCTGGTGATCCTGGGCTTGTCCCCCTGGGCTCTGTGGTCTGGTGGAGTGGCTGGTAGAAGGGAGAAAGCTAACTGGCTACATCGACTTAGCATCTACCCAGAAGACAGTCTATACCGCTGTCTGGTCACTAGGAAGGAGAAGACCTCAGATGACACACAGAGACTGTGGGGGTTCTGGTTCTCTAGTATGCCCCACAGTGTCTACAGTTAAGAATACTGTATCACTCACTCACTTGAAATTTGGTAAGGGATAGATCTTAAGTGTCCAGACCCTACACACACACACACACACACACACACACACACACACACACACAAATGGTACCGATGGGAGGTGATGGATGTGGCAATTACTTTGATAACCACACGAGCATATACAAACACACACATAAAATCATCATGTTGCATACCCTAAATACACACAATTTTCACTTGTCCCTGTACCTCCAGGAGGCTGGGGGATCAAAATAAAAACCAAGGCAGTACTTTCCGCTGTTAACTAATAAAGCACTGTAGAAAATACAAGTCCAGCTAGTACTGCGAAGAGAAATAAAAGCATCAGAAAACACTATTATTTCTGTGACTCTCTTCCGGGATGAAGCAAGCACATTTTTGCCAATGGAGGCTCTCTGGGCCATTCTGGACATTTTTGTCATTTGGTAATTCAGCTTATGGACCTTATACAGAATGCCAGGCTGTTACAAGATAGGGTGAGAGAATTCCAGGCATGCCAGGTACACACTTGGGTTCTGTCATAAAAGCAGAATGTGGGAAAAAGGACTCACTTACGTGGGGCCTGAGGAAGCCAACCAGTACCTCACATAGTTCTTCTGGTTGTGAGTAGCAATGTGTACTCAGGGGGCACACAGCGTGAAAAGAGAGATAGGTGCAAAGATCTCTGAAAACACAACATGCTCCTGGAATTAAATACAACTTAGAGCGTATAAAGCTTGCCATTAAGGAATAAACCTGGTGTGGCTGAGCACATGGAACTCCAGCAAGAAAAAGCCACCTCTGAAAGAGGTGACTCAGACCAGGGTGACCAGGGTAGATGGAGGAACAGCAGCACACTCCCATGTCCCCATCTGAGCTGGATCACAGGACTCTGGCCAGGACATAGGCGCAGGTAGTGTGGATCTAGGTGTTAAGCAGTACTGGTCATAGGACAAGCAAGGTCACATGACACCTGATGTCAGGCCTTGGCCTCTGGTCACGGTAGGCTGGATGCTGACTGCCCCAGGGTTGGCATGATGGCACCTGTGGGAAGTCTGGGGTTCTCAGCTGACCTCTTATCTGGTCTCTATGCCAGACCCCAGAAGTGATTTAGAGGCATCCACGATCCTCCTCCTTTAAAAACCACAAAGTGTCTTTTTGCCTTCGTATCACCCATAATCCTCCAATCACATATTTGAGTTTTAAGTGAACATCTCAGAAAATGCAACTGCCTCCAATCCCCCACCATGCAGTTTGACTGGTCCATCTGGTGTGCTTCCAACGTGGGCCTAATCACAGAGCTGCACGGACTCATACCACTGGCTTCTCTTCCCCCAGGTTCCATGGCATCTGTCTGCTGCACAGACTTCGGGTGGCCACCACATTTCCTGTCTTCTAGAGAAGAAATAGCAAGGGGCTATTTGGAATATGGGACATTTTTGAAGAGAAATTCAAAGGTGGGCAAAATCCATAAGTAAGACAAGTGCCAAGCGCTCCCTGAAGAGCCAGGGAAGGGGAACAACATAGGTGGGCACGCCAGTCAAAGGCCAGTCAGTTTGTCCTTGCCCCTCCATCCTCAGAAAACAAGAGGAGTGACTTACCTCCTGGGTGGGCCACTCCAGCCCTCTTTACTATGCTTTCCAGAGAAGCACAGGGTGGGAAAGGCAGCACTCTGGATGATCCTGGGCACTGGCCTAGATGGCCAGGCCATGCCATCCTGCTGCAGTAGACAGATGGCATGAGCTGGCTGGGAACTGCAAAGTGCATGGCCTGTCTTCCACCCCAATCTCTCAAGAAGGGGCCGAACTTGGCCACTCGTGCAGGGAGGGCCATATTCCAGCCCAGGCAGTGGCTGAGTCAACCAAAAAGCTTAAGCTAAGGGTTCATACCATTCACCCACTCCACATTCAACGGTTAAGGATCTACTGCATGCCAAATCTTAGAGCTACAATGTTGAGCAAAAGCAGCTGCCTCCCCAGGGCAGTGGAAGAGGTACCACTGATCAGAGGGCACAGTCACGGGTCTAAGGCTATAAACTGAGACAGCCCCCTGAGAGCTGGGAACCCAGTGGCAAGAGTTAGCTAAGAAAGAGATTTTGCCCACGAGGGTAGAGGCAGAACACAAAGAAGAGAGTCTTGATTTGCTCATGATGTTGGATGAGTCACTTAATCCTTTTAAGCCTCTTTCTTGACTGTAAAATGGGCCACTACACATGTGGCTGTAGGGAGGCTTCGGGGTGAGCATGATTTCAGGACTTGGCTAAGTGAAAGGTCCCATTAATGTTCACTCGTAACAGACTCCTTGGAATGAAAGCATCACACTTAAGTTAAGGACACTAAGCCGGCCCCTGATCCCCCTTAGCAAAACTCAAAGACCCCTCTCATTTTTGCCCAGCAGACAGGCCTGGGCTTTCCCTGAATCTCGAGAGATCCTGACAGATTCTCTCCTCTAGCCAACTCTAGCCAGAACATCCAACCGCTTTTGTTATTTCAGCCCCGGGTCTCTTTAAGCAGACACTGCCAACGCTGTGGGGGATTCATGGTGATTCAGCTCTGGCCCCAAACAAGCTGGACACACTATCGCTCAGCCAGGACGTGGCTCTCAGCCCACATGCTGCTGCGAGAAGACAAAGCGGTGTTCTGGGCTCCTAAAGCTCCCCCCAGCCCTCTGTTGACAGGCATTGGTGTTCAGCCACTGTCCCCAAGGCGGACGAAGGCCAGCTTCAATCTCTTGAGGGTTTGAAGGCAGCACAATTGCTCTAGAAGAGAAATAAGCCAGTTGATGGGCAAAAAAATGTTGAGTGTGTTTCGGTCTCCTTTCACACTCTTGGTGAAGGCAGCTTATCTGTCTCAGTGTAGACAGAATTTCTGCTTGTTTTCTCCCTGCTTAGGCGGCAGGAGAGAAGGTTTTAACTTCCTCAAATAGTGGGCCTGGAAAACTCAGGAGCTCCACTTAAATGGTAACTGGCCTACTTCCACCCGTTTCCAAGCAACGGGATACCAAATCCATCAGACCCTTATCACAAAGCCAGCGAACTGGAAGGAGCCAGAGAGCTCTCTGCCCAACGGTCCTGCACCAAAGCATGTGGAGAGACAGAGACATAAAGAGAAGTAAGCACATTTTCTGCCCAGAGCCCATAGTGACCCCTGAAACCCCTTGTCCCAGTGTGGAAGGAAGTGAGGTGCAGTTTCTTAAATGCAACAGAAAGACACCCTGAAAGGACTGAGGTCAGACAACTCAATCCAGGGCATCTCCCACATGATCACACTTTGTGTCACAGGGCCCTGATGTGAGTGGTACAGGGGTCTCACAGGCCAGAGCTTAGAGCCAGGGTCCATGTCAAGAAGGAATGATAGGGCATATCTTCCTGCAGACAAGCAATAGCCCTCCTCTAGATTAGTGCCCTTCTAGTTAGGACCTTCCTTAAAGGCTTAAGGTTAAAAGCTAGCAAGTATTCTTTGATTCTCCCAAAGTATTAAAAATGAAAAAAATAAAAAAAGGTTCCCTTCAGCTGTCTGTGTCTTGGGAGTCACTTTTAGTCATGGCTGAAACCTTTTCATCTCGGTGGTGATGTACTGAGTGTGGCAACCTCAGGCATTGCTTAGCTGCATGGACAGATGAAGTCACATGTGCCAAACCTGCTTCTCAGGGATGTTTTAGGAAGAGACACTTGCATTAATATTAAAGTCAGGGCTGAGGATACAGCTCAGCAGAAGGTCCCAAGTTTGAGTCCCAGTACCCCCCCCCAAAAACCCATAAAACTAATATCCACTGAATCCCAAGAAAGGCAAAATTTACTGTCATAAGCTATACTTCACCAAATCTGACTCAAGAAACAGGATCCGCATTCACAGAGAAAAAAATATACACACACACATCCTTTCTCACAGTGCTAGGGAGACAGTAAGAGGGAAATGAACAACTCCTTGACTTCTGAAGTGTGGCACTTATTTTCTTCTAGTTAAAAATAAAAAGCTACCTCCTTTGGGAAACAAAAGTAAGGTCAATTCCAACAGCAGAGTAAGGCAGTGGACTGTCCCTCCTGAGGACACCGGCCTGTACGGGAAAAAGGTATGGGACC